GAGAAAATACAAACCCTTCTAGAATATGTGGTCAGTGACCTACTTTATCCAACTAGGTTTTGCCTCTTAGGAGTCCATCCAGCTAAGATGCACCAATCCATCCATTTAAAAAATGGATTAATCCATTGTTGAGTTCAGAGCCCTCATGATCAAACCATTGCCTAAAAGCTCCACATCTGAAATGTGATACACTGAGGACTACACTTTCAGCACTTGAGATTTGGGGAGCATTCCAGATTCAACCACAACAGATGAGTTCTTGAAAAATGTATTTAATAAAATTTTCACATTCCTAATAGTACCAAACTTCTGTTTTAACTAAGTGAGTTAACGATCTTCTCCAAAAATTCCCTTCAAAATTCCAGTCTGAAAAACAAATTCAAAGTGAGTATCTCAAGCCCTTCGCCAGCTCACACCTCTCACCAAATCTCCAAATTTAATAGGATATAAATCATAAGTCAATAGAGCACTTGGTCAGCATGGGGAAGGCCCTGAGTTCCATCTTTAATACTGCAGAGACACAGAAAGAGAGGAAGAGAGAACTTATCATTGTGCTTAAGAGTTTGGATCAAAAGTCAGGGGCTTGGAAAACAGATGATTAAAAAAAGTGGTGACAAAAGCATTTGGGGATAAGTTGTTGAACAGGAGTGAGTCCTGCCTGAATGGCATAGAAGGACTTTAATAATGAGGAAGAGAGGGTGACCTGCTTTGTGAATACGAGTCAAACTCTGGTTCCAGTCACCCTGACACTACCCTATAAGACTATGAAGAAAGTGCTAAGGTGGCCAAGTTAGAGGTCATGCACGGCTTCAGCAGCACAGACTCCAGCCAGCAAGGCCCACTGAGTACCCGGTCACTAAAGGCAGATACCAACACTGGATCCACGGTTGATCAGGCAACTACCTGATGGCATGTTGATTGCCATGATTACGTTGTACTTATTCAGTCATGGAAGAAGCAGCATTGTTTTTACTGTAACATATATTTTGAATATAGTGTGCCTTCTCTGCATGTGATGATATACTATCACCTGGGAACATACAGAATGTCTTGTTGATGGTCAAGGAATTCTGCACAGCATTGCTTCTGATCAGGAATTATAGATGATCCGATTCTCCACTTCTGCTGCTGCAGTTGCAGGAAGGGGTACACCCTTCTACCTCACTGGCAGCTTTTTACATCAAGGGGTGCCTACCAGCCTTAGTGCTGGTCTCAATATCGGGATCAGATTTTTTGGCAGAGGTGAGCAGGATCTAATTGTTGCAGAATACCCCAGCCATACTCAGTGACTTATTTTGAGGTTCTTGTCTCACAAATTTGAAGAATGAAATCCACAGTGAAGAGTGAATGTAAAGAGTAAGATTTATTCAAGTGCAATGAAGAGAAACAGTAGTTTGCCACCTACATGTACTAGTCTAGTGGTTAAAAGAGATACTGCATAGGGACATTTATCAATATCTGCGTTAATCAGGTATTGGAAAAATGCCAAGGCTATTGGTTTGGCCTGTGACCTTCTGATTGGTTATGCACCCCTTTAGCCCTTGAGTCTGTAGCCTTCACTCAGGTCCATCTGCTTCCTCTTTTCCATGTTCCAGCACAAAGGAGTTGGCTGGAGTGTTTGGAAAGTTTCTAAAGGTTAATTTCATGCAGTGGCCTTTACATTTAGAGAAGCTTTTATGGTGCTCATTGCCCTAACTGCCTGTTTCACTCTCTGTCTGTCCTATCTATTCACTACATCACAGCAAGTAACATATGGCAGTGGTTTGATGTGCATGGAATTCACTTATCTTCCCATGTTTCTCATCAGCCTGATGCAGCTGTACTGAAAGAATGGTGGAATGGCCTTTTGAAAGGGCACTGGCTAGTTGGAAACACCTTACAGGTGTTCCAAAAACTCTACATGCTCAGATTCAGTATCTGATACATAACATGGTTTCCCCCATAACTGGGGCTCACAATCCCAGGAACTGAGAGGTGCAAATGAAGGTGACACCACTCTCTAGAACCTTAGTGATTCACAAGCAAATAAATGTTTTGCTTCCCCCTCCTGCAACTTTACATTCTGCTGACCTAGAGGTCTTTATCTGAAAGGGAGAAATGTCTCCATAGGAGACACAGCAATCATCAATTATTCCATTTATTGGATATTATGACTCCAAACTGGTCACTTTTGTGTGTGTGTGTGTGTGTGTGTGTGTGTGTGTGTGTGTGTGATGTTGCGATTCAAATCCAAGGCTTTATGCAAGCACTCTACCAACTGAGCCATATCCCCAGCCCATTTTTTAAAACCTATTTTTATTGTCATATATAATGGAATTTGTTACACATTCACACACACACACACACACAATATAATCATATAAATTGGACAATGCCATTTCCCAGTATTTCCTCTTTCCCCCATCTCCTCCCCCCTTGGTCCCTTTTCTGTGACCTCTGTTCAATTTTTATTAGATTCCCCACCCTTAACATATACCTTTCTTTACCTTTATTCTTTCTAGATTCCACATATGAAAGAAAACATCATCCTTGACTTTCTGACTTCAGCTTACTTTACTTAATATAATGCACTCAAGTTCCAACACCATTTCCTGAAAATGACATAATTTCATTCCTCTTTATTACTGAAAAATTTTTATTGTGCAATTGGAACTCCATTGTGTATTGGAAATGTATTCCACATTTTCTTTATCCATTCATTGATGGACACCTAGGCTGGTTCCATAGTTTGGCTATTGTGAATCATCCTACTTCAAACATGGCTATGCATGTTTCACTGTAGTCAAATGACTTTAGCTTTTCAGGATAAATACCAAAGAGTGGTATAGCTGGGTCATATGGTGGTTTCCATGTTTAGTCTTTTGAGGAACTTCCAGGCTGATTTCCATGGTATCATACTCATTTACAATCCTTCAAACAGTGTAAAAAATTTCCCTTTTCATCACATCCTCTCCAACAATTATTATTGTTTGTATTCTTCGTGGCTGCCATTCTAATTGGAGTTAGATGAAATCTCAGTGTATTTTAATTTGCATTTCTCTAGTAGCTAATGACATTGAACATTTTTTCATATATGTATTGTCCATTTGTATTTCTTCTTTTGAGCAGTGTCTGTTGAAATCATTTCTCCATTTATTAATTGGGTTATTTGCATTTTTGGTATTTTTTTTGACTTCTTTGTATATTCTAGGCATTAATTCTGTCAGAAGAGTAGCAAGGAAAGATTTTCTTTCATTTTGTAGGCTCTCTGTTCTCATTCTTAATTGCTTCGTTTGCTGTGCAGAAGCTTTTAAATTTGATGCCAATGTATTTATTAACTCTTACAATTATTTCCTGTGTCTAGGGTCCTATTTAGGAAGTTGTTTCCTGCACCTCTTTGGTGAAGTGTAAACCCTATGTTTTCTTCTAGCAGTTTCATCGTTTCTGTTAAAATTCTTAGGTCTTTGGTCCACTTTGTGTTGACTTTTGTGCAGATTGAGAGATAATCATCTAGTCCCATTCTTCTACGTATGAATGACCAGTTTCCCCAGAATCATTTGTCTAAAAAGTCTGTCCTTTTTCCAATGTATGTTTGTGGCACCTTTGTCAAAGAGTTGGATGACTGAATTGTGCAGCTTTGAATCTGTGTCTTCTATTCTGTACTATTCTATTTGTGAATTTTAATGTCAATACAATACACAATATCATTTGGTTGCTATGGCTCTATGGTTTCTATTACTATGAAACCACCCCCAATGGTTTGCTTGCAGATGGTAGATATTTGGATTTGTCACCCTCCATAGTTGCATGAGTCAATTCCTTATAATAAATAAATAATTCAACTTCCACACACATGCACAGAGGCTCACATGCCATTGGTTCTGTTTCTCTGGGGAATTCGGATGAATACGTAAGCTTTTACAATGCTCCTTCCACTGCCTTTTTCTTCCCAAGTTAAAGCACATCCTCTAGAACTATTAATCATTGTGTATTAAGTGTGTGTTTTTCCAAAAGCCTCACACACTGATACACCATCTTCTGGGCCAGGTTCAAATTTCTCCCAGGTGAAGGTCATGGTCACTTCCTTGAAAGGTACTATGCCTGGCAAGTCAGAGGTAGGAAGTTGGCTTTGGGCTATTGGACATTAGAATCCTTCACTGTCACTTAGAAAGTTGCAGAGAGCCAGAACTTCTGAGGGCCAAGTCAGGTGGACAGCACTTCAGGATGATTGTGCCTGAGAAAAAAGCCTCTGGTGGGGAATGTCATTTGAGTCATCTTCAACCCAAGATCCTTCAGATGATCTGTCCTAGCCTGTTCTGCACTCATGTGGAACCCTCAATAAGTCAGCAGGTTGTGCCAAGGTGTGCACTCAGCCCCAGGCTCTGACAGGTATCAGTTCTTTATTATGTCTACAGGATGTGGGGTTGTTCTATCCAAGCTAGACTGTGAATGCACTGTCAAGCTTAATACACAGAGATCATGTGACTGTGTGCATGTCATGAAGTGAAACAGAGTCACTGTTTGTGTATGTGTATGCACTTTTACACGTGTCAGTCCACTTGTTCTGCTGTCGGATCTTCCAATTCCAATTAATTTCACCTACTATTTCTGTACCAGTTATGGTGCATACCTGGCTCCCATAGGGTTGACTGACACTATGGAATTATAAACACAAGAGCACATTACCCTTGTAAAACCTAAAAAAGGCTTCCCTTCAACAGTGTTGGGCACTATGTGATTGTCTATGGGAACTGAAGAAATTCATGATACCCCTCTTCATAATGATCTGTTTTCACCAAAAATAGAGACATGAAGGCTACACATAAAATATATACAGTTCTGCAGGTTTTTCTATGTCCTGGGCAGCAAAGCAAATTAAAGAAATAATAATTACTTTTACTCATAATATCTGTTAAGATATTAAAAATGGGGGCTCTGTAAAACTACTGATCATTCACACAGAGCTCAATTTTGTCTCCTCTCATCAGAAACTGTGAATAGAACCACAAAGACTACAGATAGATTAAATAATAAAGTATTTATTAATGCATAAGCTAGAACAGTATGAAGAAAATTTTATGTTGGTGAATGGGAGACTGATAAAACTTTTCCATGAAGGTAAGGTAAGCCATTCCTAGAAGACTCTAGCAGACTGCAGATCAGCTCCTCCTGGTTAAAAACTAGGTCAGATATATGTTTTAATCAGTCAGAAAGTGGAAGGAATTATCCTTGAAGGCCCAGGCTGTTCAAGAATTTCTCCTTGGCATAAGCAAACATGTTCCTTCTTTTACAAGCTCAGATGACCAACGAACACTGTGTTAGGTGGTAGAAGATGCCTTCTGGCAGTGATTTAACTCTGACAAAGGCTCCTGTAAGCTTTACCTGTCCCTGAATGAGTGGGACTCTCACCCCAGTGTGGGTGTTAGGAAGTATGATGTTCAACTTCAGGCAGGCAGTTCCCTCATAAGGCCTAATACTGACCAAAGAAATAGCACAATTCCTGCAGGTATAGGCCTTTCTCAAGTGTGGACTTTCAGGAGCTAAGTGATGTTAAACCTTGGGCTGAAGGCTTCCTCACATTTGTTGCTTTTGTGAGGCTTCTCCATGGTGTGAGATTTTCGATGAAGAATGAGACCAGAGTGCTGTGTAAAAGATTTCCCACATTTGCCACACTCATATGGTCTTTCTCCAGTGTGAACCACCTGGTGCTGAATGAGGCCAGACTTCTGGATAAAGGATTTTCCACACTGACCACATTCATAGGGCCTCAAGCCAGTGTGAATTTTCTGGTGTTCAACAAGGGTGTAGCTCTGTCTGAAGAACTTCCCACATTCACTGCACTCAAAAGGCCTTTCTCCAGTGTGAGTCCTCTGGTGCCGAATGAGTTTGGATTTGAACATAAAGGCTTTCCCACATTCCCCACACTCGTAAGGCTTTTCTGCAGTGTGCACCTTGTGGTGTTTATTGAGGGTGGCTCTTTGGCTAAAAGATTTTCCACACTGGTCACACTCAAAAGGCCTAGCCCCACTGTGGATTAACTGATGTTGAATGAGGCCATACTTTAGGCTAAATGACTTCCCACACTGTCCACACTCATAAGGCCTTGCTCCGGTGTGAATTATCTGGTGTTCAAGTAGACTGTGGCTCTGTGTAAAGAATTTCCCACATTCGCTACATTCATAAGGCTTTTCTCCCGTGTGAGTTCTCTGGTGTCGAACAAGAGTGGATTTGGACCCAAATGCTTTCCCACACTCATCACACTCATAAGGCCTTTCTCCAGTGTGAATTCTGCAGTGTTCAATGAGGTTGGAGCTTTGGCTAAAAGATTTCCCACATTCACCACACTCATAAGGTCTTTCTCCAGTGTGCACTCTGTAATGTTTAATGAGGGTGGCTCTTTGACTAAATGATTTCCCACACTGACCACACTCATAAGGCCTCTCTCCAGTGTGGATTCTGCGGTGGTCATTCAAGTGGGAGGTCTGGCTGAAAGATTTCCCACATTCACTGCATTCATAAGGCCTTTCTCCATTATGGACTCTCTGGAGCTGAATAAGTGAGTACTTGCAGCAGTAGGCTTTCCCGCATTTGGTAGATTCATAAAACCTTTTTCCAGTGTAGACTCTTGGATGGTGAACAAGAGCATATTTGTGGCTGGAAGTTTTTCTGCATTCACTCCACTTGTAATGATTTATTCCAATATGAAGATCTTCCTCACACTCAGTAACTGTATTTGGCCTCTCACAGTTGGGAACAGACTGGGGCTGGATAAAGTCCAATGTGGCCAAGAAGCTTTTTCCAACATCTCCACAAGTTACAGGTTTCCCTTGGATTCTGCAGCTCTTCATAAATGAGGCTTTTCCCAAGTCTCTCTTCAAGGACATCTCTGATCTGTGACAATTCTGCTCCTGGTGAAGGTTTGCACATATCCCAGTCAAGTATGGTTCCTGCCCAGGTTGATCAGCCAGGTTCAAAAGGTCTTTCAGAACTGGGACACACATTTCACAGGGATAAGTCTCCTGGGTAGATACACCTGCCTTTGTAGTCTTGATTTGTGACAGTCCTACAGAAATCTGCTCAGAAGGTATCTCTTCATCCTCCATTCCATGCCAACAAACTGTAAGCAAACAAATTCTAATGAAATGCATGTTGAAACCATAGTGGGAGTATATTACTTATGTTTTAAAGTACTTCCTGTATAACATGATTTTTGTATGTGTGATATTGAGGATCAAATACAGGATCTCATAAATGCTAGTACTCTACCACTGAGTGATGCCCCCAGCCTGATTTTCTGATACCTTAAAAAAACTTCTAAGACTAGGATTAGTGGTACATGCCCGCAACCCTAATTATTTGGGAGGCTAAGACAAAAGGATCACAAGTTCAAGGCTGGCCTAAGAAACTTAGAAATACCCTGTCTTAAAATAATAAAAAGGGGTGTGAATGTAGCTCAACAATACAGTGCACTGAGTTCAATCACCAGAACAAAACAAAGCAAAAATGCTTTGCTGAAAGCCTTGCAGAATGGCATGCCCCTGTAATCCCAGTTACTTGGGAAGCTGAGGCAAGAGTGAATGAGATTCCATTTAAAAACAAACTAAATTTTGCTGGCTGGGGAAGAGAGCAAGGCAATTCTTACCAAAGGTGTGAGATGGAATCACACCATTCAAATGCAAAATAACCAATCCAGAGTCCATACTGCAGACTATATTTTCTATATGGCCTTGATACTTCAGTATGCCATAGTCCTCTACCCCAATCATCCCAAAACAGGTAGTAGGCAAGTATGGCCAAGATGTCCCTTAATCCCAGGGTCCACTGCAATGATTAATGTACCCATCCTGAACTATTTACCATGCCCTACCTATTGGGCAGGAAGTCCAATAAAGGCTATAGTTGAGTATTTTCCCTTCTGCTTCGGCTTCAGCACTGGACACCTTCTCATGTAGGCCCATATATCATGGTACTATTCTCTTGCCACTTTAAATAATAAATTATTCTATCGATGACATTAAACTCTCATTCAGTCAACTCAATCAGTTAAAATCCTGCAGTACACTTTAAAACAGAAAGAGGAGGTCCTATCACATACATATCAAGGAATGAGTCCACACTGTATCGTTCTGAGGATGAGAAAGCTGGAAGCATTTTGAAGCAGTGGCTGCCGGGCAGTATTGAGCCTCTAAGGATCAAAAAGGGTGAGCCATCACCACACAAAGGACACAAGGCTGAGTTGCACAACACAGTGGCGAGGCAGGGCCTCAAATCTACTCCTCATCACTGACTTTGACAAGTCTTTGTCATCTGGTGACATGTGCATGCTGTCCCAAAGGCTAGTAGCATCCAGAACCAGGAAAGTAAAATTGGAAAAAGGAATATTTACTGACATTCACAAACTTCACCACAAATGGTCAGTGTGGGAAATATCATCAAGGAGGTAGTGCAGAGGATATGTGGCACATGGAGTACAGAAAGGAGGGAGCAGCAAAAGGCCAGAGACCACAAAGTAAGGAGTCAGCAAAAAATCAACAAAGACAAGGAAAAGGCCAGGAGTGGTGGCACATGCCTGTGGTCCAAGCAGCTCAGGAGGCTGAGGCAGGAGGACTGCAAGTTCAAAGCCAGCCCCAGAAACTAAGCAAGGTCCTAAGCAACTTGACACTGTCTCTAAATAAATCATAAAAAAAAAGGATTAGGTATGTGGCTCAGTGATTAAGTACCCCTGAGTTCAATTCCAGGGGAAGAAAAGGAAGGTAGACAGAAACAAAGGCTGACCAGAGGCATCAGCTCCAAAACTCTAAAGAAAGAAGAGAAGGAAGGAAGGAAGTGAGGGGAGGAAGGGAAAGAAGGAAAGGAAAGAAAAGTAGGTAAGTAGGTAGACAAAAACAAACGCTGACCAGTGGCATCAGCTCCAAAACTCTGGCAGACACCAGGCAGGCTGCTGGTTAGGGTTAGAAAACAGGCTGCTGGTTATGAGGAGAAAGTCTGGATGTCGTACACTCCCTCAGCAGCCACTCATCAAGGCCCAGAGTCCTCTAGAGACGTGTGGCATGTTCATCCTATGACACCACCAGGGCTCTCACTTGCTCTCCTAAAGGAAAGACAGGCCAGGTAATCCTGCAGCACTGCCCAGAACCACATAGCACACTACAGTCCACAGGAAATGTCATCCAGAAGGAGGTGCAGACCTTGGGGAATAGTGACCCAAAGAGGGAGTAGAAAGTCTGGTGAGATCTGCCAGGCTGACTCTAGATACCTGATGCCCAGACCTTCCCCTGCGCACTTCAGGGCAGCAAGAGCTTCTCGTGGCAGTGCACCAAGCTCATCCACGCACATGTGCCAAGACAGTGGAGAGGATTTCCACAGGCTCTGGAAAAGGCAGAACTGCCGCTAGAGGGAAAGTGGATAAATAGAGCCCAGCTCAAAACAGTGGGGTGGGGCGAGAGTCTTACCTAGTGAGGTTACAAGTGCAAAGTTCTCCAACATCACACCGAGGTACAGCACCCGCTGATGCTCATCAAGGAGCCCCCACTCTTCCTGGGAGAAGTAAATGGCCACATCCTCAAAGGTCACACAGTCCTGCCAAGATGGAGAAAATTTAATCAGCCTCTCTCCTAGGAACCCAAGTCCACTCCTCCTCCCTACCAGTCAGCCTTCCCTTGCTCGTCTTCCTTCCTGCTCTCTAACTCAGAGGAGACATCGATGGTATTGAGTTTCACCGTCTCCTCAAGGTCTGTTGTCACCGTGTCCTCCTTCAGCACCATCACACACCACCCTCTCCTCATCGTCCATGGTCACTGTGTCCTTCCTTAGCACCACCAAGTACCATGCTCTCCTCTTGGTCCCATGGTCACTATCCTCCTTCAGCATCCCCAGGCAGGTGGGCTGGGAGAACCAGCTAAATGGCCTGACATGTAGGGCCAGATCCCCAAAAGCCAGGTGATTTTCCTGGGGTCCCAAGATTGTGCCTCTCAGACACAAATCTGGGCTCATCATCTTTGATGTCCTCAATGCCAGGCCATCGGTCATTTAGCTCACAATCCCCATAGTGTAAACGTCACTCCTTGAACTGCACTTCTCATATAGCCTCGCTCCTCAGCCACCTCCACCCCTGTGTCCCACACCACAGGCATCTCTCTGGTTTCACCATATTACTCAGAACATGGCACTGAAAAAGCTTGGCAAGTTGATACAAGATCTAGTACTACCCAGAGCTTTGGTAGTCCCCACTGCCAGAGGCAATCCCTGTCCTGTTCTGCAGGCCACATTAGTCCATTTTTACTAGTATAACAAACTATTTGAGGCAAGCTGCTGTATAAAGAAGGAAGTTTGGGCTCACAGTTCTGGAGGTGCAAGGTCTAAACACTTCCTCTGAGATGGCCTTGCTGGCAGTCTCCTCAAGTAGCTCAGGGCATAACATGACAAGACACAGGAAACACGTACATGTGTATGCAATCTCTTTTCTACTTACACAGCCAGCAGAATCCTACCACAGGCTACATCCCAACAACTCTACATAGCCCGAATCACTTCCCAAAGGCTCAACCTCCAAACATCACAGATTGTTTCCACTGTTAATAAGTCAGGATGGGATTCACATTTCAACACATGAATCCTTCAGGAACACTTAGGCCACATCCCAACAACAGCTCCTCTGCTGACTGAGCTCCTTGTTTCAACCTCAGCAACCCAGAACGGCCTCAGATTTCAGAAACCACAGCCCACTTCCACTTGTGGTGTACTTGATATGCCCCCCTCCAGGAATTGCCTGCCTCTCCTCCTGACCTTCATTCAATGGCCTGCCACAGTAGCCTTACACCTCAGGAACACCAACTCTCCTCATGAAAATTTATGCTGCTAATTTATGAAACTCGAAAGAAACACCACGGATTCTACAAAAATCTTGTGGATATAAAGTATGTTGAATAAGCATTAGTCCTAGCTTCAGTACCTCAGTTACTCCTAGGCCTTCACACTGATTTCATGGCAAACTGCCAGACCATCCTCTCTCCCACACCTTTCACTTCTCTCCCACATCTTTGTGACTCCCACAACTACCACCCAAGGACCCAAGCACAAGACACACCCATGGGTTCCCCAGGCTCCTAATAGCATTACCAGCAAACCAGGATTCCCTTTTAATGGTGACCCAAGCTACACCCAGGACAAACACTGATCACTACCTTCTGGATGTGTCCTGAATCCCTCCTCAAAGCTGTAGTCCTGTGTAGTTAACTATCCATTTGATGTCTAAACTAGCTGTTCTTTGAAATATCTCAGCCTCTAAAGATGTCCCAAAACAAAACTGTGAATATTCCAATAATTAACCCTACTACGAACTTATCCTGCTTAGTGGAGCTTCTATATTTCTAGCTACTAGACCCAAACACCCCACTTCCATGAACTACAGATTCTTAAGTAAGAATCTCTCACCCTCAGTATCTATAAACCTGGTCTTTCTTACTTAAAAAAACTGATATAGATACCAACAGCTACCAAGTGCATGGCCACCACATTGGTCCAGCCATTATTAGCTCTCACCTGACTGCTACAGTAGGATTATCTTTGCTCCTCCTATCCCACCCTTCACACCCACAGTCTGGTCTCCATGTTGTAGCCACAGGAAATTTGAGACTTGGGTCAGATCTCCATCTTCTGATCCAAAACTTGCATCACTTGTCTCATTCCAGAAGAGACACAGAAAATCTGAGAAAACCATCACAGTGTGATTTCTGTTCTTTAGCTTTCAACTCCCTGCTTTCCTCAACAACTCAGCCCTACGTTCTAGCATTTGCTTTCCAATTATCTAAACTTGGGACAACCTTTCACACCTTACTGTACTAGTTTCCAGCAAAAGAAACCACTTCAGATAGCCCCTAGTCTAGACATGTGATTCCTGGGCTTGATGTAGTTGCTCAGGATCAAAGAAGTAGAGAAGTAACATGAGACGATCCCCAGAACATTAAAAGATGGAGAGACAGAGTGGGATCAGAATCATGGAAGTCCTGGCACACCCTCTACTCACCTGTGCGAAGTCCATAAGGGTTTTTGTAGTCATGGGAGCCTGTGAGAAGACGGAGAGAGACAAGTGACCATGGTGGGGGTTCCCCTGACTCAGGCCTCCTTTTTTTCCCCGCCCAGCCCTGGGGATGACTGCATTATGGGTGGCCTCAGTGCCCCAGTCCTGGGTGCTGTTAACTACGGTGAGAACTTGCATTAGGACTCCATCTTTGCTGCACCTCGGTGCTATCCCCTTTCCAGATGTTCTAACTTGGAATTGCGTTTGGAAACTTTGAAAAACTTAACGCAGACCACGCTCTTCTGAGCACAGCACTCCCTGGCTATCAAAACCCTGAGGATAAGGGTGAAACGCCTGAGTGCTGCTGGCTCAACCGTCCTAGTGAAATAAAGAAACCAGTCCCTTCGGCAGTCACGCTCCCCCACACCCTGGACACCAGCTTGGGAAGTGGGGACCCGCCCCTGAGCCCCGCATCCTTCTGGACACCGAGACCGGAAAGGTGGAGTGACACAGGAGGACGCGCGCAGCCCCTCGGGGATCCGGGACTCGGGCGGCCCGGGGAACTCGGCGCTTACCCCGCCTGTGTCCTGCGGCGCGGCCACAGCCATCGGCTTCGCGGTTGTGCCGCGAAGACCACCCAGAACCCCTATAGCTGATGGAGCCTGCGGAACCGGAAAGCTATCACTACGACCATCCGGGAGCGATGCCGGAAGTCCCGCCCCGAGCTACAGAACAAACGCGGCGGCGCCCTCTGCCGAGCGCTCATTGGCCAGGTCTTAGCGTGGCATTCTGGGTAACGTAGTTCTCACGCTCCGCAGGGCGGTCTGCGTGGCTCTCTGGGAACCGCAGCCGATCGGCCTCGCGGGGCGCTGGGAGATAGCGTCACCGCCTTTGGAAAGCGGGGCGGGGCTTCGCACTTCTTAAAGGGAACGCGGTCAAGTGGTCTCTACTGGAGTTTCCACGTGGACGCGGAGAGGCGTGTCCGCCCTGCGCGCAGGCGAATGGCCGTTCGCTCTCGCTCCTTAGCGGGTTTCGGGGGCTGGGTCCAGGAGCAGAGACGGGGCCGGAGTCCACTCGTGGTGCAGCAGACCTGGAGTGTGGGCGCTGGGCTCAGCCCAGGGCAGAAGTGGCTTCCTCCTGAGAAGCTGATCTGCAGACACAAAAGGGAAAGTGGAGAAGCTCTGGGAGAGAGCCTCGAGGGTGGAGAGCCGCCCGGTGAGACACGGCCACCAAGTCAGCCACCCGAGAAACCCGAGGGAAGGCAGAAAAGAAGCTCCTCCAGGAGGGAGCAAGTCCGCCCACCGCCCGTGGCTGCTCAGGGAGGTCTTGCTGCTGGCAGTGGGGACAGTGACGTGTGACGTCAGTCTCCCGCCCAACATCCCGGAGGTCCCACGAGGCTTGTCAGCCTGAAGGGTGAATCCAGAGCCCTCGCAGCCCTCGATATGTGAAAATGGGCAGAGAACAGCACTTAACGTCAAACCTGTTTAGGGAGATGATTTTGGGATCGGAATAAAGGGAGAAGAAAACCCTCAAGTGATAGACTCAAGTCTTATATCTACTTTTAAAAAAATAGCCTGTTTCCACTTCCTGTTGAAGATCCAATTTGTTATGTGGAGTTTGCTCCCTGGAAGAAATCTGGATTTCCCTGACATCCTGTGGGGAGTGGAAGAGAGACAGATGGGGGAGAGATTCAACTGCAAGTCTGGAATGAGTGTGGGGAACATACTCAGGAACCTCTGGAAATGGAATAGGCCTTAAGGAGGTGATAGGGGAGATAGTTTCCCTTTTGAGAAAGTAAGTATAAGTCCCTAATGGGAGGTGAGAAGAGAAGGGCAAATTGATGAGGAGAGGGAGTATTGAAAATAGGGAAGGAAAGTCAAATCAAAACCACAAGGGTCCTCTGCACATCTACCAGAATGACTACTAAAACAAACAAAAAACAGTATCAAGGATGCGGAGAAGTTGGAACCCTTATATTCTGGCAGTGTGAATATGAAATGGTAGAGCTATTGTGGAAAAGAGTCTAGCAGTTCCTCAAAGTATAGAAACTGCCACCTGAGACCTTGTTTACACATTCTAAAGAACTGAAAGCATGAACTCAGGTACCCCTACACTCAGTGCCGTGGTAACGTTATTCACAGTGTCTGAAAGGTAGAAACGACCTAAGTATCCATCAAAGATCTGTGAATTTAAAAAAGTGATACATTCAAACAATGGAATAGTCATAAAAGGAATAAAGTTATATAGGACACAACAAAGATGAACTTTGAAAAATATTCTAAGAAGTGTTAGTCACATTCAAAATAACAAATATTTTATTCCACTTTTATGAAATATCTAGAATAGGCAAACTCAGACAAAAAAACAGAGGACACCAGAGGCTGGGGGCACAGGAAATGAAGAGTTACACTTAATGTATACACATTTTCTTTTGGGTTGATCAAAAAAAGTGTTGGAAATAGTAATGGTAGGTTTACAACATTACAAATTCACTTAACACCACTGAATTGTATTCTTGAAATTTATTAAAATGGTGCATTTTACATTACATGTCATTTACCACTCTGCACAAAAACCATACAAGCAGAGATTTTCTCCAAATCTCAGACAATATTTTCCCCTATCACACTATTTCATATTCATGAATATTTCCTTTGAAGCTAAACCAGTTTGAGTAGTATTTATTTATTTATGTGCCTAAAGTTATTTTAGGCCTCTTATAGGACTTACAATGTCTAAGATTGAACTGCCCTATTCTACATAGAATGACACATTTCTATAAAGAATGTGCAATTTATTGCCCTAAACATTAGCATATGATAGAAGGGATGACTGAAATAGCTGTAGAGAACATGGAAGAATTTGCTTCTTTGTTAGCAGTCCATGAAACCAAAGAAACGAGTGTCGCTATGAATGAGCACCAAGGGACTGAATGCTGGGAAACATGAAGACAAAATCATAGAGGTATTCACCAGCCACTGACCTGGGATTACAGCAAGAGTCATCCAAACATGCAAAACAGAAGAGAATGAGTAAAAGATGCAAAAGGAGCTCACAAGGATCAAAATGGTGCATGTAGCTTTACCCTCAGGGGAATGTCTAAAAGTCCGCCTGTGGATGTAAATGTGTTGCACTCGCTGTTTGTGTCTGTGCAGGAAAAGAACCATAAATCCACTGGCCCAGGCCATGAATCCCAAACACATGAAGTCAATTGCGAAGAATAAGAATGCAACTAGAAACTTTTTAAAGCTATCGGGATTAAGTGAGGAACAGTATCCATAATTTATTTTCACACTTAAATTTTTGCTGTGCATTGGACCAATCACTTTTATAGGAACAAATATATTTATCAACAGTTGCAGGATCCAGAAAATAAAACAACTGAAGGCAATGCACTTTGGGGATTTCATTCTGAGCTCCAGCCACTTGGAGAAATTGGGGTAAAGTTTTATGGCCTGGAAACCACTGAGGAAGCAGGTGGTGCTGAGGGAAACCCCTCTGGCAACTCTGTGGAAATAGAAGAGAAGTTTACATCCAGTTTCATCCAGAAAGTAGTTCAGTCCAAAAGCTGCCACTGTCTGAGGGATCCCTCTGGAGAAAAGTACAATGGAATTGGCTAATACCAGTTGGTTGAGGACCATGTCTGTGGGTTTTACATTGTGTCCAGTGAGCAAAGTGAAGTTATAAAGACAAAGGAGGGAGATATTTCCCAGGACTCCCACTCCCATCTGAATAAGGAAGATAACCCCAATTTCCAACTTAACAATAGCCATCACATTGCATGCTTGGTACAGTGATTTTGATTGGAATAAAGGAATGGGTAATTAGACAAACAAAAAGAAATATTACCATCACCTTGCCCAGTAACCTTTATGGCTAAACCTAATACATATTTTCTAAGTTTAATTTACTGATTGCTTTTTGAAATGAAAAGCCAAGTAAAAAAAAACTATGTATGAAGTATGCCAAAGTTTTTCCACATATGTGGAGAAATAAAAATTAAAAATCTTCTAAAATAGTGGCTTTATTTTTGCAAAATAAATATTTCATATAGTAAACATGGTTGAATCAAATTAAATGTTTTAAAAACACAAAATTGAAAAGTGGAAAGATGAGCAAATATTCAGTTGGTGACCTCTGTGAAAATGAAATAGTTCAAGTGAACTGAAAAATATATCATTTCAACTCTATATCCTAGAGGCAAAATTATCTGTCAATAAGGCTTAAATTTTACTTATATATTTTACCAAAGGGTTGATGTCTTTTTGAAACAAATATATTAATCTAAGTGGAAAATAAGACTTTCAATGTAAGAAAAAGTGAGTGGTAATATAAATAAAACCTCCATTTGATAGAAACATTCAATATTAACTTATTATTTAAGAAAATGTTTTGTACTAGAGATCAAACGCAGGGACTCTCATTTACTCTGAGCTACATTCTTGCCCCTAAACCACACATACACACAAATAAATATAACATGAATTTGTAAGTAAATGCATGCCAAAGCCAATGTCTCGACTTGGCACCAGAATCACGAGCCACCACACAGCTTTGTAGGTTCAAACAGCAATTCTTTATTCCCGCTCTCACACCGCCTCCACACAGGTCCAGGGGCAATCACGTTCTGCCGTCTCCCGCACAATTCACCTACTCCACGAGGCTATCTTCAAATCCCATTTTAATCTCACGAGAACTCAACGGGAACAAGCAGCAGGAACACCCTAATCCCAGCAATAATCTTCAACCTCTAACTTCCCTAAAACCCATTATCTTAAACTGGCAACGCCTTAAACTCAAGGAGCCGGTTACTTCCTCAAACCTGATCAGCTCTAAACCCGGATCCGCCTTGGTCCTTGAGCAAGGTCACCTTATTAAAGCATGCATGCAATGTCCCATCGAATGTCCTCTAAGCAGCATGGGGTACGCTTGGCAAGGAAATTTCGATGCGTCATTCCTACTTGGTAATGGCCCTCAGCAAATGCATAAAAATATATACTCTCCTTCCTTTCTACATTGAAAAACTGTAGAAATTATGGGCAACCAAATATCAATGCCTATTTCTAACAACCAGGTTTTGGTCTCTAAAATTTCTCAGTATAAGAAAGAAGTGTCTTTGAGGGTGAAGGCAGTTTATTTCAGATCTAGAGCAGAAACTTTCCAAGATTCTTTTGAAAAATCTGATCAAATAAGGGATGTGAGGAAATTGAGAGAAAGCTGAGTTCACTTGAAGTAGTCTCGGGACCATAGGAAGAAACTACTATTGTACAAAATTATGTAATAGTCACTCTTAAGGATTGGTGCTCATAACCGAGCTGCATATGGTAGAAGTGACATAACAGGAACTGATAAGTTTTATGCTGGGAGATGTTTGGAAAACCCATGCATTCTTCTGAAAATCAATGGAGGGAATGCTAATCCTCTATCCTACCTATAGCTCTATAGATTCTATTTCATGTTAAGAAATTTCAGTTTGGTGTAAGATGTATCACACTTCAAAATATTTACTATCATGTATAAATATAAAAATAATAGAAGTTTCAAGATTGTTTTTAGAGAGCCTTCCTCAGAACAATTCCTTCTTCCAAAAGCACTGAAGCTTCATTGTTGGATGGTGAAATATGAGGATGTTTGAAGTCAAGAAGAAAAAATACTATCACGCTGGGCAGTGCCTGGTTGAGTTATCTTCCGGCATGGTCATTTCTACCACACAGAAACCTCAGCTGTGAGATGAATGTCCACTTCCATGACTGAGAATTGAAATACACATTTGAGAAACATTCTAGAAATAGGAAATTTATAAAGATCAATAATATCATCTAGAATAGTCACAAGTCAAGACAGTTGAAAATTTTCTTTTATGTAAGCAATAATCTTAAATGTACAAGCAAAAATACATTAGTAAAAAAGGGGGAGATTTTGGAAAAAGACTGATAAAGTAATAGAAGGGAAATATTGAATGACAATCAAAGGTGGTATTTAAATTATAGAACTTATTTTAAATAATAGCAAAGAAAACTGTTGTCCTAGGTAGAAGTCTTTCCAGTATTTTTAGTAATTCAAAGCACACTAATATGTACCTTATTGAATAAATGTCAGTGAAAATGTTAACATTTCCTAATTTCCTCTACTAATATCAAAAGGGCAAGACATGTAAAAAATCAGTTTAATGAAAAGAACTTACTATGTGTAAAGTATAATAAGAATTACAGTTTGCTACTGAAAAAAAAATAAAAATGTGACAGAACTTGTAATGACCTGGGTTGGCAGATACTTACATAAGAGATCTCCAGAAGAACGTACGTGTGGTTGAAGTGAACGATGGCCTGGGGGAAACAGCTTGTTCAATGATCACCACTGAAGTATGTGGAGATTTAATTAAGGCTTTAGAGGTATATTTCTAGCTTTAATCTTAGAAGAAAATAATAAATACTTGATATAAATATATATAATATAAAATCTCTCAGATGGAAATATAGCAGGATGTTTTTCATAATTTTGTCTTAGCAAAGTATTGCTAACCATGTGTCAAACCTGAGGTCCTAAAAGTCTTTGGTGCTTTCATAAAATGTAACTTTTTTTCCTTTGGTACTGGGACAGGAACCAGAGCTGTTTCACTATCAGGTACATCCCCAACACTTTTTATTGTTTATTTTCAGACAGGGTCTTGCTAAGTTCCTTATGGCCTTGCCAAGTTGCCAAGACTGGCCTGGAACTTCCAATCCTCCTGCCTCAGCCTCCCCCATTGCTGGAATTACAGGCACGTGGCACCTCATCTGGTGATATTTGTACTTTTTTTTTTTAGAGAGAGAGAGAATTTTTTGATATTTATTTTTCATTTTTTCCGATGGACACAACATCTTTATTTTTTATTTTTATCTTATGTGGTGCTGAGGATCAAACCCAGTGCCCTGTGCATGCCAGGCGAGTGCGTTACCGCTTGAGCCACATCCCCAGCCCGATATTTGTACTTTTTATAATAGAAGCTTTTCCTCACTCTCCCACCTGCTTGGGCAAACCCTTCCTGTGGGACTCCCCAGTGTGGGCCCTTGCACATGAAGTGACTGTTGCTCTAGGACCTGTGTGAGTATAGTTAACTTGTACCTCTCCGGTGTCCTGTCTTGTGGCTGCAGCTGATTGTGGTGTGAAAAGGTACAGAACACTGCATACTTAGAGGTTTTTTGAAGATCATTCAGATTGCCAATACATAAAATTTTGCTAAATTTATTTTCCAGAAAAATCATGCAATTTAACATTGAAAAAATTAAACCATTTGCAAAAATATTGCCATCAAATCTCAACAATTGGGATAAAGAGAACAGTTTATGTGTGAGTTGGGGGAAACATCACTTTTGGTCAAGGACTGGACTAGTGATGACCGGACAAAGTGTGGGTAGTGGGAGCACATGTCCTAGAGTGACCATCTCTCACAAGAGAAGACAGAAGGAGAATTCAGTCTGCAGGGATCCAGGAAGATGGGAGTTAAGACAGAACTTCCTGGGTGATTATGAAGTGGTGGCCAAGTTCCCCAACAGTGAAGCATTGTGACCTCT